ATATATATATATATATATATATATATATATATATATATATACGTATATAATTTATACATATTTCATATAATTTAATATTAATTATTTTAATCATTTTAAGAATTGTAATGTCAAAGCATCTCCATGATTAATGTTTTGCTGTAAAACATATTTCTGATCTTAATATACATAATTATACATTAGATTCTGATAGTGCGATTGTTATACGAGTGATTATTCTTGTTTCATAGTATGATTCACATTTTAATTTTTCAAACAGCGTTCGAGAAACGAGCTATCCAAGCAACCGCTGAAGTTCAACAGCAATTGAAATGCCCCGTCAGTTTTCATCCTGGAAGGAATTCTGCCGCGCCCTCTGAGATAATGAGAATTTACCAAGAAGCTGGCGGCGATGCAAGGAAGGCGATCCTTTCTCACCTCGATCGTACGTTTAATCAGATATTATTATATCGCTCAAAAAAAGTTCAAAACTTTCATTAATTTCATATGTGTCAAAAAATGGACATATTTATATTTTATTATATATCACGTAAGTATAAATCATACATCTTATCACAATGTAAATATTATGATATAAAAATGATATATAGTATATATAAAATAATAATATAATGATATATAATATAATATAAATAATTATAATACGAATATTTTTATTATTAAAATACAAATAATTGCGTCGGATCAAAGTGATTTGACTCGAGAGTTGATGTTCACAATCGGCAGGGACTATACTCAGCCCAGAGGATCTTTTGGAGTTCGCCGATGACGCGAAATGTTATTGCCAGTTCGATCTTTTCGGTTCTGAATGTTCCTTTTATCAGTTGAGCCCATCTGTAGATATGATCTCTGACGCACAACGAATCGATCGCGTGAAACATCTTCGAGACGAGCAGAAGTTAGATCGCGTTTTGTTGAGTCACGATATTCACACGAAGCACAGATTGGTACGTACTTACTTATTTACACAATAATGTATTTTACAAGATTTGAACATTTCTTCCAATTTTAAGAAATCTTAAAATTAATAGTTGAACACTTTAAAGATTTCTCGAATCTTTAAAACCATCGATTAGGACATTTTACAGTGTTGATTTTTTTTTTCATTATTGTATGAACATTCAATTCTTTTATCTGAAGCTCTTCTTTTTTAATCACCATAGATTATTTTCAAAATTTTATTCAATATATTTTCAATATAACATTGTTGTCAAATGCTATAATATTTCTCATTAATCTTGTCATCAACGAACTTCTATACCAATTATTAGATCTTTTTTTCATAAAATATATCTTCATTTTGAAATACAGATAAAATTCGGTGGACATGGATTCTCTCACATTTTGAACAACGTCTTGCCGAAGATGAGACTAAAGGATTTCAGTTCTGAAGAAATTGACACTCTAGTTATTCATAATCCAAGAACTTGGTTGACGTCTTAACTTCCAACAGAAGATATTTTTATGAAGTTACTGTGAAAGGAAGATTTTTATCAAAAACTATATGTCAAATAAATTTTATACTGTAAACGTTTATACTAAATTTATAATAAATTTATCAATCTCTTTTTTTTAAATAAATTTAAAAATTATAAATATGCACTAATAGATTATATACTAAGTTTCAAGTTCTAATATTAATTTGAAAATAAAAAAGATTTCATACATGTTGACCATCGCGTGAAAATGTAACAATTTTTTGCTACAATCATCACAATTAAACTAATTCTTACAATTATATTTTGCAAAAGTCTACTTGCATTATTTGTTATTCATTACAACAATTCATTATTTCAAATTTTCTATTTCATTTCAAATAAAATATGTGTACCAATTAGCGCACCTATTATGAATTAATTATTAAACTTGTTGTTCTTCTTTCTCTATAATTTTTTCATTGCTTTCCAAATTTATGAAACTGTCATACCAACAATTATTATTCTAAATTCAGAAAAATTACTTAAATATCAATATATTAATATTAAGATTAATGTTAGATATTAATATATCAATACACAATTATATAACATAACAAATTAATATAGTATGATAGAATTATAAATAATATATTACATTAATAAATATTACTTATAAAAAAACTACATCAATAAATAATAATATATTATATAATATATTACATTAATAAATACTATTTATAAAAAACTATATTATCAAAAATAACAAGCAATTTTGCACTTAGAAATTTACCTCCTAGAAATCTTGACATAACGGAAATGCGTATGTTAGAAATCGTTAGGGGATAGACTTTGTGAAACTCGCGATCTTTTCCATTTGAAGATTTTAGGGCCTGAGCGATCGAATACAGTCCTCTTTATCAGAAGATTTATCTCCATTGCGTGACCAGATCTTCTTTGTATTACAACATTTTCCTAAACATTTATTGGCAATTATTTTAACCATAGAAAGCTACCACGGGGTATCTGCCTTTGAACAATCTCGAAATCAATTCGTTGCTAACACGTATATATCTATACTAGGTAGCAACTAATATCTCGAATTATCACCATTCCCACTCTTTGTGTTACTAGAATTTCCTAAATGCTGAGACTTTCCATGTTTATTGGAGATAATATAATTATAATATTATTCAATCATAAACCATGGAAAGTTAAGTATCTGTCTATCACATTGCTATCTATACTAGGTAACAACTGATATCAGTTAATACGTATCACACTTGCGTATCAGAAAGACAGATTAAAGACAGTACGATGATTGACGTTAGAACGATATTAACCTATAGCTTAAGTTACACGTGGCTTAAATATAAATGCGTCGATTTATTCGTAATGGCACGGTGTCGTTGTTCTTTTGCATTGTTTCCGCCAATGTTTCCGATCTGAAGTATTATATATTGAGCAGTGATACTTATAAATTAGTAAATATATAAACGAATATGAACGGCAAAACATTCGAATGGTTAGTAGTTTCTTAAATGTTTCAAATACCTTTCCATAGTTTCGCATTTATCATACCCATCACTGAAAATCCCACGAATCTGCTAATTGTGAGAAAAATACCAAAAATTGATAGAAGTGTGAATCGAGCGTCGAGGCAAATCGTCGAGAGAGTGTTTACGAAGACAGGAAGAGTCGATAGCGAACACGATAGATTGTCAAATCGAGGGGGGCAAGAGACGTCGTGTGTCGACCTCTGAGGTCGAGCTTCTCTCGCTTTCCTCCATTTGTCAGTTTACCAGCCAAACCTGATTCAATCACCAGTGAGTGCGTTGGTTGTTTCGGTTATTTCACGGGATATATACAACAGAGGTGAAGAAGACATGAGCTCTAGGAAGTCGAGAAGAGACTCGGATGCTCTGCTGTCCAAGTTCGGGCACAAGGAGCTGCTGTTCAAGTTTCTGGTGATCGGTGACTATGGCGTCGGTGCGTCCCAGGACGTTTTAAAATTTCTTTTTTCGAAAAATTCGTCGTCCCGTTAGTGTCATTATAGATTTAATGAAAAAAAAGAAAGAAAGAAATGCTGTGACAGTGTGTGAAATCTGACCGATCAACGACCGATTGATCTTTGTGTATTCTTTCGTTTTCTGTGTTTTATATTCTTTTAATTTGTATTGTATTTCAGATGTTATTATAAATTTAGCAGAAAATACTGTGACAGTGTATTAAATTTGATAGAGTCGATTGATGGTCGAATTTTACTATTTCGTACGTAAAAATAGGTTGAATCAAACATTTTTTCCCTGAGAAAATAGTGTCGAATATTATTGGTTCGATTATGGATCGAATTGCGATTATGCTTTAGATATTTCGTTTAAATTTGAACGATAAATTATTCAATTGTTTCGTTTAAACAAATTCGTAATTACATTTCGCTTACCATCTCATTATTTTAGCTCATAAATATTGCCTTTGAATGAATGAATTCGTCGTTTCGTTCAAATTTGAGTAACAAATTGTCCGAGTTAATTCACTGAAACAGAATGACAAATAATCTCAACAGAAAGTGAAGTTTATACAATAGAATCGGAAATTATCTGAGAAATTATTTGTAAAAATATAAAACATAAAATGAGATAAAAAAATTGATAAATTAATCCACTTGATAGCCAAATAATAAAATAGTCCAGAGAAAAATCATTTTGATGTTCAAATAGATTAATGCACGGTTATTTCAAATAACTATGATTTTTGAATGACATGGTATAGTTTGATTGCAGTTATACCAATTAATTAGGTCCAATTAATTAAATTTCATATCATTTAATTAATGCATTAGTTTTTGTAACGATTATCTTTATAATGATTCTATTCCATTAATTGATACGTTTCAAAAGTGATTAATTTCATTAATATCAACATTGTTCTTACAAATGAATAATTTTTACTTTCATTGCATGAATATTAAATTAAAGAAGCCCATATATTGTATTTTTATTTTTTTTTATAAATAATTCTAATATATACATAATAATATATAATAATTCTATTAGCATTTCAATCTTAACGAAATTATTTTACATTTTTGTCTAATTTAATAATTTTTTATATTTTTCAGGGAAAACAGCATTGGTTAGAAGGTACACAGAAGGTAATTAGATAAACTTAACTCAGAAACAACCAGTTTCAGTGTCATCAATTGTTACAGCATTTTCTTGTAAAATTTCATTAAAGGGTATACTTTGAAATTTTCTTATTAAATCAAACAGTTTATCTCCAATAGTTTATCTAAATTTTCATACTTATCTATTATTGTATGTAATGAAACAGAAGCTGTTTATGATAAGATTAACACTTGTGATATATCTATGATGGATGAGTGTCATAAATAGAGAGCACGTGTTTATACAAATTAAAGAAACGAAAATTTTTTTCATTCACAAAATATTGCAAGTACCATCTATACTTATTTTTTCACGTATATAGAAACTTCTTTTCGGTTGTACCCTTATACATATTTCTACATTATTACGAGAATTCTGTATAAACATTCGCAGACATAATTGATTGTATTTTCAATTTTCCTTTTGACCTAATTTAATTATTAAATTAAATAACTAGTAATTATTAATTAAGACATCAATTATTAATTAACTAATCCAATTTAATTTGTTTTTCTCGCTGGAACCTTTTTAGTTTATTTTTCTTTTGGAAAATACAAGAGGAAAATATGAACGAAGACTATAATGCAAGAAGAAAATACAAACTACTAATTATTAATTAATTATTACTAATTATTTATTGAAACATTAATTACTAATTAACTAATTCAATTTATTTTATCTTTTTTTTTTGAAACTAATACAAGAGAGGAATATGAAAGAACTGAAGAAATAATGAAGATAATGTGAAAGGAAAATACAAAAGAAATACAACATAAAAAATATGAAGAAATATGAATGTAATATGCTCCACATGCGTGAAGGTTAATGATATTCTATATCTGCTCATTATTCTTTTGTATCTCAATAAATAATTGTGCAGATTGTCTTTGAAGTATTTATTGCTTCAAACAATAAAGAAAAATCTTCCTTTCTTTAATTGATAGCATTGTGAATTACGCATAATATTCGTTACAAATGAGTAGTAATAATTTATCAATAATTAAGTGAAGAGTTTCTAGAAGAATATCTTCCTTCTCAATATATGTGTAGTATATTTATAAGTTAGTATTCTTGCACGGTTCATTGATCGATTGCTTTCCTTTTTTTTCTTTCAGGAAAGTTCACATCGAATTACAAGATTACTATAGGAGCCGATTTCGCAATAAAAACACTCGACTGGGATTCGCTTACTAAAATTAATTTGCAATTATGGTATTAATTCATGATTTTGTCTTTGCATGTCAATTCAATACGGTCAACAGGTTTCAAAGTACTTGATATTTCATTAAAAAATGACAATTAACGAGAAGAAACAATAAATGCCACAAATTTGTTTTATTGAGAAAATTTGAATTTTGATATTATAGTGTACTAGTAAGGAAATTGGAAACTAATAAACACACGCTTAATGTTATCTTGTAAAGATATTCTATTTAAATATTAAAAATTATATTTAGATTACATTTAATTAAATTTAATTGAAAAATATCCTTGTTTCTTCTCCTCATTTTTCGAATGAAATAATAATTGGAGAGAATTTTAACAAATTCAAGTTCAATACTGTTTGACGTGCTTCCATCGCGGAAAAATAACTTCGACGAGAAATTTAGAATCAAAATTTTTCTTACTGGACACTGTAGTATTATGTATTCAAAGCTTGATACTAGTCCATTGAAAATCATATCAATCTTTAGAGCGTGAATATTTATGCAAATTCGTATTTTTATGAATACAATTAAATACGTAGAAGATTGTTTTATCTATGTATACCTATTGTCTATTGTTTACCTATCATGCGCTATATTTTGGATATTTTATTATACGTTTTTGCATATTACGTATATTTTGTACATTTTTGATTTAATGTAAATATATATATAAATCTCGTGTAAATAAATATGTAATTTTGCAGTCTATAGTATTGATTATTTATTGTGTTCCTGAAGACGATTTGATATTGTCTAGTTTCAAATTCTAATTTCTATTTGGTATTGTTTAATTTTAAAATAACCACTCTGAAGAATATGTGGGCATGTCCAAAAATACGTAGGTAAATGTAAGTTAATTTTTTATTGTTATTTACTTCAATTTCCAGGGACGTCGCTGGCCATGAGAGGTTTGGTTACATGACCAGAGTTTATTACAAATACGCGTAAGTAATTATTGTAATTAATAAGAATTTGGAAATTTTTATATTTTCCTCGTACATGTATGGAATATGTTTTGTCTAATTTTATCTCCAAAATAGTGATAAAATTAAGCAAAGCTTAATTGATTCTCAGGCATTTGAATACTTTCGCTATATGTTTCGTTCTATTATTTCTAAAATTTACATAGAATTAATTCTTGTATTTTCCAGTTTTTAGATTATACATACATGTTTTTAGATTACACGTACGTATAATGATTATACACACATACATTTATACATGCGTGTTCAATTTTTATGTATTATTTTCAGAGTAGCTGCAGCTTTGGTTTTCGATATCTCGCGAATAGCGACGTTCCAATCGATCAAAAAATGGCTGTGCGATCTAAGGGAGAAGGTTACGTTTCCAGACGGTTCGAACATACCTGTAGTTCTCTTGGCGAACAAATGCGATATTCCTTTCCCGGTAGTGCCCGTTGAACAGATCGCCAAGTTTTGTAAAGAGAATGACATTGGTGCTTGGTATATAACATCTGCGAAAGAAAATACGAACGTTGGTAAGTATAAATGTCAGTGAATTTAACTATTTAATTATATTTAAGCACGATAAATTATTCAATAGTATTTTCGCGTAATTATAAAAATTTAGTACTATGAAGATGAATATGAAGTGTACTTTGAAATATGTTAGAGTTTTCGACAAAGCTGATAAAAATACTGTAGAATATTTATTATAATAATGTAATAATACAAATAATATTTTTATTATTATCATTAATTTTTCTAATGTGATTCAAAGCATATTTTACATTCATGGTATCAGATTTTTATGGTCACAAGAAAATACTATGAAGGTAATATACTTGAATTTAATTAAATAATTATTAAATAAATACAAATTACGTTATGCCATAAATACATTGTAATTTATATTAAATTATATCTAATTAGATAATATATATAATTATATTATATATAATCTAATTAATCATGTTGTGTTATTTAATTATATCATTATAATTAACAATAATGAAATTATTATAATAATGTAGTTAATAATGTAAATACATTATAATTTGTGTTACATACAATAATTACATTATTAAATTCTAATTATAAAACAATTAAATATGTTTTAAATGCTACAATGATATTTATTTATTAACATTTTCTGTAGTCATTGTACATACTTATTTATTATTTATTAATTCTCTCTTACAGATGTGGCGATGCGTTATCTCGTGGAAAACGTGCTGAAAAGTAAACTGGACGGAGGAATTCGTGATTCTGTCCGATTACGAGACAAGCCAATGATCTGTGAAAAGAGTGGATGTTGCAAATCGTAATTGTAGTTTGAAAGTGTCAAACAAGTTATCCGTATCATTTATTCTGCTGCAATAATGCACATCCGAAAGATTTAGTTTTTATATTTGATTTTAATTTATCCGCGATGCATATGTTTTAATATGTAATTTGTACGTCTACGTTAATCACGTTACAAATATGCACAACAATTAGAATGCTCTTAAATATATCAGATATTAAATCTTAGGAATATGTTAAATGTGTTTATAATATATATTATATGTTATTATATGTTATTATATATATTAGTGTATTTATTTTAAAATAAATGCATAATGAATTTTTACGACGATTTACAGAGTTTTTATTTCATCTCATGAAATAAACAATTGTATTTATATATTTTTAAAGAAACAAGATTAAACGCTTACAGGGAGGAAAATAGAAATAATGGGTTAAAATGATAAAATTTCAATTTATTTAATTTGTACTTTGATAACTTTTCAACATTATTTCCGTTCGTCACTTAATCGAGAATATTAAATAAATATAAAGAAAATTCATGGCATTAAATTGGATAAAATTCATTGTCTTCAAAATTCATAATTGTATCCTTAACATAGTTTTACATTGTGGTAACGATTTAACGAAATTAATACGTAATTTTTATGTACAAGTATATTTACGTGTTATCTTTGGTAAAAACTCGACGCTTGATTGTCTGTGTTAAAAATTAAATACACATAGTATTTTTTTCATCTTAACTTTTATAATATCTAATTTTTTAATAGACAAATAACTTATAATTTTATTATACAATACTACTTATGTTTTATTATGAGCTAATCTATTATAGATAAATCTAATAACAGCACTGTTATGTCTTTGTTTATTTTTTGATTTTCTTCGATTTACTTAACAAATTCTAAATAATTATACTGTTTTCAGATCTCTTTTCTATTTACATATTCTCTCTCAATGATCATTTTCTTTTTCATGGTATATTCTTATATTCTTAATTGTAAAATACAAGTGTTTCATAATATTAATGTGTGAAAGTTCTTTTAATCATGATTTCAATAATGAATAGTTAAAACTTTGATTATCAGAATAAATATATGATAAATTATATGGGAATATTATACAATCATTGTAGGAAACATTGAGAAAAATCGTTCTTGAAAACTTCATAAAATTAAAATTTAATTAGTTGAAGAACATTTTTATTTTCAAAAATGGTAAAAATTCAAATATCTCTAAAAACAATGAATTTTTTTTTTATCTATTATCCATCACGGTCTTGAAGATTGAAATTTTCTTTTTATTAAATTTTTGTTTTTTACGACTTCTTAAATGGATTAATGGACAGAAATTCAAGAAATTGTAACATTTCGTCGCTTAAGTCTGTTCAAAGTTCAATAGTGGAAAAAAGCAAGTTTCAAGTTTCAAAGGGTTGTAAAGAGAAAATTTCAATCCTCAAAGATCACAATGGATTTAGTCGTAAAAAAATTTTTCAATGTTTCGAGACACGTTTTTACAATTTTTGAGAATAAAAGTATCCTTATTTCCCCATTTGCTACATGTTATAAACATATTTTTGAGAAAAGGAACGAATTCAGGACTGTCAACCAGTGGCTTCACTCTTTAAAACGAGACCGAGTGGATTTGTTATATGATTTCCTTTTACGAAGTTACAACAATTTAAAGCACCGACAATTTTTCATCTTTAGTAGTACAGTTATGTCTTTTACTGTACATATACATATGTTCATTTACTTTTATACGATGTTAAAACCAAGCGCAATACAATGAGATTTAGAAATCTTATTCGCAATACAATGAGCTTTAGAGATTTTATTCTACAGAGACCTTATTCTACAATTAATTTCTTCAATAGAATAGCTTTCTCGGTTGTAATCCAATGATGCAGTCAATGACGTAAACGTTGTATCTTTAGTTTCTCTTACTCATCAATTGCATCAT